CCGATGATTATCAAGCACTAAAAAATTATGTCGAACAAATAGAAAGTTTTCGCGGGCAAGAGATTTATTATTCTTTGACAGAGGAAATTAGTGCTATTAAAAAGAAATTGGCGGCTAAAAACCCAGCTGAGTATGGAAAGAATAACGCAGACATGATTAGTAACGAATTAGTGAACAAAGGAGTAAAAGAAGACCAGTTAAGTTCCGAAAACCAAAAAAGATTGAAAGATTTAGAGGCGGGGAAAATTACTGACCCCACTGAAATTGATGAAGTAAAAAACCAAATTAGCGAGGAAACTAATGAAAAAGCCGCTGAAAATGAATTAGATAAATTATTAGAAGAATACGAAAAAGCTCCTAACCTCGCACTTAAAAAGGTTATTAGAAACAAAATCATCCAATTTGTCAATAATAAAGACAACCGCTTCCAGCAAAAAGCCTTTAAAAGCCGCTTAAACAAAGTAAATAAAATATTAGGAATTGCTAACACTAACGCACAAGGTAAAGACAATTTGCCAGTCACTCCAGTAATAATTACAGGTGGTTTACTAGTTCTCTTAATAGTAATTAGTTCTATCTTGATAATTAGGGAGCAAAAAAAGAGAAAGTAAAACCAATATTAACATTTTAGGAGGGAGAGAAATGAAGAACATATAAATCATTTATTTCCGCAAATGCGTCGCTAGTTCGCACCCAATCCTCGCTATCATTACTAAAAATGCCTTTTGGTAGTTTGTTATCCTCTTTGCTAAACTCACCGTATATTTTTCTATATTGGGCGGGTGAATAACTACTTACTTTTAAATACTTTTTGTATCCGTATATCTTTTTTAATTTTTCTGGCGCTAACTCACTAATACCGCTTAATAAACGGATTTTTTTACTAATTTCTTGTAAACTTTTGGCTCTTTCTGATTTGGTAGCCGAGCAAGCAAGACCAAAAGAACAGTAATTTCATTCTTGTTCTATTCATTTTCTTATTGGTGTGTCAGGATTTTTGTATCACGCCAAAATGCGGTTTTCTTCTTCCTCCTTATAAACCATAT